CCAAGCGCAATCGCCTGTATATGTGCGCGTGTGTGTGTGTGCTTGTGTTTGTTTGTTTGCGTATGTGTGTGTGCGTGTGTATGTGCGAATTATTATTGAAATATCAGTTGCTCGAAGGGTTCAGGGGATCTCCTAGTCGAGCAGTCTCGACTAGAGCTTTCTTACTTGTTTGTAATTCTTTTCCTCTGTAAAGAAAAATGCAAATCTTACCTCTAAATATTTCCCAATGATATTTGTTGTATTGATACCAAATCAAATTAATATATACATATAGTATTTCAATTGGTGTAAATATGTATACATATATGTATGTATATGTTATATACATACATACATATGTACATATGTTAGCTACTCATTGCTTGAAGGGGACTGACTTTTGCTATTTATCTACTGTTATGTAAATTCTAATGTAACGGATTACGGTTTCATAGTTACATAGTCTGTGCATACTTGTACATACATACAGATATACATGTATGTATGTATATATGTATGTCTGCATATTTGTGCAACTCGGTTTTCTATTGCTGCTATGTTTGGTTCACTTTATGTTCAATTTTCGCAAGCTTTGAGATCCATACATATATGCATACATACATACATATGTATGTATGTATATGCATGAGTTCATTCCAGTGCGCACGTGTCTGTGTGTGCGTGCATGCATTTCTCTAGTCTCTTGTCCCGTTATCAGCCGAAGAAACTTCAGCTTACCTTTGTCTGCTGTTAAGGTTTTTGTTTAAATTGTGTTTGGTTATTGGTAAACAAGATAACGGGCAGCAAATGAATACACAAACGTTTTAAAATAATAACAAATATTGCATACATACATACATATACATATCTACGTATGTATATGTACATATATACACGTATATTGAGGCATTTGCAAGTGCAAATCGCTTAAAAATGATAACGCATTAATTGAAGAACTGGCTAAAGCAGACGAAATCGCACTGCCAATGGCAGTTTGTGCCAAGTGCAAAGTCTTATCGTAGATAGTCAAAGATCGGGCCAAAAAGAAAACAAGGATGGAAACCAAAGCAGAAAAGGTTCGACTAACAAATACTCTGTACTTGCTTAACGTGAAAGATATCCAGCAAAGTATAAGTTAATCTTAACAGACCTCTTCGTTATTTTCACGCATGTCTTAAAAAACATAATTATTATTGAACAGCTATTAGTATCAAGCTGTCTAGAATGATAGGTAGGTATAGGAAAAGCTTAAATGTAGCTGTCTAATACATACATATATTTTCGTATTATTATGCATATACATATGTACATATCTCATATAAATTGCACTCAAGTATAAACAAATTCAGAGAAACTTAAGAGATCAATAATGCTACGTTTTGCAACACATATTACGTAATGTTAACAATGTTTGTTAACATCGCCTCCATTAGCTGTTAAATCATGTTCAATTCTATATGCAAGTTTGTTCACTTCAAAATATACAGGGTATAAGTATGTACATATATAACAGCGTTGTTTGTCGCATTTTGCTCCCTCCAGAGTATACACATGCACCCATACGTACACATACACAATGTCAATTAAGCTATTCGATTTAGTTAGGCAAAAATATTTTAGAATGACTTTCAAATTCTGACCTCTAGTAGGTTTGTATGGCTGAGAACAGTTTTGTTTCGATCTGTAAGGGAGCTCATGGGGAGAGAAACCCTTATATACATATGTACATATGAATAAATGTATGTATACAGACATGCAATATTATATTTATCTAGTATTCAGATTCAAAACAAATATTCTTTTAATCGCATTTTGTATGTATGTACATGCAATCCTCCGCTTAGGTATTAAAAATCAAATCACGCTACAAAATGCTGTCCAGTGCTGTGAAATTTAAGTGCTCTATCTGATAATGAAACAATAAAAAATATAATAATTAGTTGTGATGTCACCAATTCTAATCGACGCTCGATCGTGTGTTTTGTGTGCGAACCAAACTAATTGAGAGGTATTTAAATTTAACTAATTAAGAAATTGACAAATAATAGCGAGTGAAAATGCAAGTCCAAGTGTGGTGAGAAAATGGGTGTTATTATAAAATTATATAAATATTTGTTTGTAATTTCAATTTTAATATTTGTATAACATAAAATGAAATATTGTTGCAATCAATTTTTTTTTTTTGGGATTGTGTCATAGCACTTATTTTCCTAAGCCCATATACATATATATATATGTGCATACATGTGTATGTGTGTATGTGTGCATATGACGACATTTGTACGCACCACACCTTTTTCTGCAGTCTATGAATGACTGTCAATCATGCTGGCCGTCAATCGGCGTAGGGTGCACAGCGCCGTATATTAACTGCGCCGCAAAATCAAGACAAGTACATAAATTGTAAAAAAAGCTTCAACCGCTACACCACCGCCAACAACAACAATTAATAATAAAACAGAAACAGAAAACAACAGCAGCGAACACAACAAAATGCCAAACGAAAACAAACAAGTAAAAGTGGTCTGAGCTATCGAATATGACCGGCTAGATACCCTGTGTGGCGAGCAAGCACACATACACACACACATGTAGTGGGCTGCAGCAGCTATAAAAGTAATAGATAAAATAGAGTTTTTCTTTTATACGTTACAGTGCAATGTAAACGCTCTGGACATAGTTCGTGATCATTTTCTATAATACACAACTCAGCTATGGGCAAACATAGTCAAGCATACCCGCTTGGCGCTCTTTTGGCGTGCAGGGCACATAAAGCAGGCAAAGCAAGCAAGCGACGACCGGCTTCTCTTCTTTCGTGCTTTACAGCTATACACACACACACATATTCATAGAGAGAGAGACACGACTGCGCCTCAGCAGCTGCGCCACGCATGTGTTCATTCAATAGCTTCACCGCTGCCTCTCTCAATACATGCGCAGCGACACTCACACACATGCGAATGCGGCCGTTGGCAGCGCAGGCGCAGCCCGCCCGCCGCAAAGGCGGGGACAGCGGCTATGTGATTGCAGCGACGTTGGCGTTGCCGTTGGCGCTGGCTTCTTTGCTACTACGGCCAATGCGCTGCGACGCGTTTAAAATGTCGCATTCGCCGACGCTTTGAGCTCAGTCTAAAAACGGCAGTTAGAGCGATTGACCAGTCAGCTGCTGCCCTGCTGCGCACACACACTAGTCAAATAGACAGTCAGTCAGTCAGTCAGTCAGTCAAACAAACATTTAGTCAGTCACTAGGCGCTTGTTCGTTCTTGTGCTCCGCTCCGATTCAAGTTGTTTTGATTATTCGTATTCGAAATTGAAATTGACCTTCTTGGTGGACGCGCTTTAGTGAAACCGATCAAAGCAAAAGTCGAGTCATAGACAAAAAGAAATCATAGAACGAACAGCAACAAGACCAACAACACAATGACGCCGGTAAAGTTCTATTTCGATTTCCTTAATCAGGCTAGCCGATCACTTTACATACTACTGGAGGCATCCAAGATTCCATTCGAGGCGATACCCATATCAATGGTCAAAGGTAAGTTGAGTACGTGCTCAAAAGCTCGCGCAGAAGCCCAAAGGTTGTTTCCACATTCACACACACATACACACATACAGCCCAAACAACTACACACATATGCAGATGCATGCATGTATTGCATGTGTCTATGCACTCAAGTCTATTTCTATCTCTTTCAAATATAAAATTTTTTTTTTTGAGCGTTTCCAAAAATTTTCCACTTGTTTAAAATTCAGCTAATCAAGTTATCGAAGGGGAAAGTGCAATACGTGTGTAAATAAATGCATATGTATGGTAATATCTGATAGATAGGCTTCTATAAAAACAATATGTACCACATATTATAATAATAATATTAATGAGATCATAATAAAAATAAATAAAAGTAATAAAAATAATTTTGTAAATCAGACAGATTATTTTAGTTCTTGGAAATAGTTCATTGAATAGTTCGAAATTGGATTTGAAATACTCCAAAATATTGAATATAAATTCGGACTTATGTACAACTATATATGTATGTATAATAATAAATTAATATATCAAATAAATTATATATCAATAATAAACATGTATATTTTTAATACAATTAGAAATCAGATTTGGAATACTTCAAACTTGAACTATGTTTATATACATATAATTAGAAATCAGATTTGAA